CAAGTGCAAATTGGAACTTTAGTATGTAACAACATAAAAAGTGCAGTCTGACTGCAGACTAACTGTTTACAAAAGCCCAATACTGCAGTCGTGAATAAACTACAGAAATTACCGACTTTTTTCTACAGTTTAAATGGAGTTTGATGTCTTCAGATTCAACACTACAGTTTAAACTATAGTCTAAGTGAAGATCCTTCCACCCGGGAACTTCTGTGCCGACTAAATAAAATGAAAGTAACAAAGTCGTCCGGGTACTAATTACAATAGGGAACGAAGTAGCCGGGAACGAAAAATGCAAGGACGAATCGTACTGGGACGAATTGTTTAGTACGAATTGTCAGGGAGATAATAACTGTAAAGAATAACCGTAGTACGGACTAGCCTGTTCCCGAGTCGTAAATAGGCCTTCGGCTCCAAAGGACACAAATTTTACCCCCACGATTTTATTTTGACGAGTTGCCCCAACAGAGACTATCGAGTATTGAGAAACACATTAAAATGATTTGGGGTCACTTTCGTGTAGAAATCGCCCTCTGGCGACTAAACGGTTGGAGATAGACCCTAACGGCAAAATTTTGGTCCTCTGGTTTCTACTTTGGTGAATTCCGTCTTAGACAAATGTAAACAAGCAGGCCCGCCCTTCAGCCAAACGAAGTTGCCCAGCTCCGCTTCGCTCCGCCGGCATCTATGTTCTGCAGGGGCCGGGCCTGCTTGGCCTGCCGGCGGCGATGGTCGGGCCTTCGGCCCGCCGTTTCTGTCACGCGATTTGCTGAAGACCATGATCGAATGATGTAGCGGGCCTTAGGCCCGCTTAAGCCCGTCTTCTTTGAGTTGCCCCAAAGACTCGAGAAAGGGATGTAACGGTGAAGCACCGCGACTTCAACCCACCTTTCTGCTTGGAAAACGGTTTTTGGGGGTTGGGGGGAGAGTTCACTATGGCAATTTTTAGCTTATTTTCGTCAAAAATGACCCTTTAGCGCCTAAATTGTTAGAGAAAGAGCGAAATTTTCTCCCAAAGGGCTCTACTTTGACGAGTTACCCCTTAGGAGAACATAAAACAAAAATACTTTTAGGGAGAATTTTTGAACCTAGGATTCCCCCATTCACGCCCTTAGGGGTGGTTGTCAGGATTTGCCGTAGGCGTTTCGTTCTGCAGGAGTGGGCCTTAAGATACCCTGAAAATTTTAAGTCTCTAGCACATTTCCTTCTAGTGGAACTGAACAGACAGACAGACACACACACACGAGGTCACCCCAATCACCCCAAATTATTTTAATGTTGTTTCGCAGATGTTTGATGGTCTCTGGGGGTAAAATTTGTGGTCTTTGGAGCCGAAGGCCTATCTACGACTCTGCATTTTGCCCGACTCGGGTGTCAGCGCCGCAGGCCTGGGTAGATTTATGCCAGGCTCGTCGCAGCGTAACAGTGTTTCGTGAGATATCGCGAAGCCTGTTACGCGAGACGTGGTCTGGCGTACATCTACCTAGTATATGGGACTTCCGTTTTCTTGTTAACTGCATTCTTCTGCATTTCAGCTTTACCGGAATGCTTTATTGAACACTAGATGTACGACAGACCACGTCTCGCGTAACAGGCTTCGCGATATCTCACGAAATACTGTTACGCTGCGACGCGCCTGGCAGACATCTACATAAGCCTTCGGCGCTGACACCCGATTCGGGCAAAAGGCAGAGTCATAGATAGGCCTTCGGCTCCAACGGACACAAATTTTATCTACCGGTATATTATTTTGACGGGTTGCCCCACCAGAGACCATCAAATAACATTAAAATGATTTGAGGTTATTTTCGTGTGGAAATCGCCACCTGGCGGCTCTGCAGGAAGCGGGCCTAGCTTGGCCTGCCGGCGGCGTTTGGGACGGGCGATTAAATTTTTGCCCACGGTTTCTATTTTTTACGAGTCACCGCTTAGGAGCCCATACTAAAATATTATAAAACAAATATACATTTACCGACCTGTGGTTTTTGATTTTGTTTAAAAAGACAATTTTTGAGCCAGAATGCTCATCTTCGTACTCGATCTGTCTTTATATGATACAAAACGATCCGAAATACCCAGATCGCTATCTTAATCTCATCTCGAGTTATCACGCGGACAAACAGACAAAACAAATAGAATTCTACTTTTTCGGTCAATGGAGTATCTAATTTTGAGGGCAGCAGGGCCCCGAAAGCCTAAGTTTGTTCGATATAGATAAAGTGACTCGTAGGTCGAGCCGTCGTAGGCCCGACAAAACGCCGCCGGCGGGTCAAGCAGACCCGTCCGCCGAACGGAGTTGCCTGCGGAGCGAAGTGAAGCTGGCAACTTCGTTTGGCAGAAGGGCGGGCCAAGCCGAGCCCTGAAGTACCCTGTCCTGTAGGCCAGACGAGACATTTAAATCGGCAATGCGTTGAAAGGATTATGTTGTGTGTTTAATTTCTACTCATGCAGATGACTGGGATCATCCGTCGGTGCAGAGGTGCTGCAGAACAATGCGAGCATTTTTCAAGAATTGAATGGAAGCATGATATTTGCCCGATGTTGCCCGTTAAAAATGCTATTTGGTCGTCGATTGTTGAACAATGGGAGCCCCGAATGATATGCCCTTTTAAAAAGGTAGTTCTACATTATTTAAAGACTAAGCTTGAAACTCCGATCAGACCGAAAGTAAAGCTTACTGGCTTAGCTACACACTAAAAAAAAACAGTGCAAAATTTTGTAACATTGATATGAAGTATTTTCAGTAACACACGATTACAAAATTTAAGGTTACAAGGTTACAAATTTTCGTAACTACGGATTACGAGTATTTGCTTCCTCGTTAAAAATTTTTGTAACATATGACGTTACAAATTTTCGTAACGTAGCAGTATAAATATTTCTTTTCTGATTACAAAACTTTGTAACATTTTGTGCTGTGGGGTGCAGTTGACACCCAAAAATTAATAGTATTTCCTCATTGCCCTTCCGGAAGGGTCATACCAGTTAGCCAACGCCTTTTCCTTCGAGTATTGCCACAACCGGTATCTGCAAAATTGATTTGCGGAATTTGCCTTTCCCCCCGGGACAGTTAACGTTCCAAAGGAGGACGGAAACAATCAGTGACACGTAGTCACCGATACAAAAATGCAGAAGCGTGTAGAAACCACTACAATCATGTGTGGAAAACGTTGCCATACACAACCAAGGAGAGTTGGCAGGTACCCTGCGCGGGTTGATTTTAAACCAATAGGGTATTTCAATGGAGCGCTGGCCGGAACTAAGGAAAACAAAAACGGATACAGAGAGCGGGGGTGAGGGCGGGCGCGCAGAGGAGCGGGTGGCGGGCGGGGAGGCTCCCATCCACCTACCGCTTCTCCGCGCGCCCGCCCCCACCACCGCTCTCTGTATCCGTTTCTGTTCTTCTTAGTTCCGGCCAGCGCTTCATTGAAATACCCTATTATATCTGACGCACAGTTGGCCTTTTGAACAAAAACTGCAATATTCACTTAAGGTCATTGTCTTATAGAGCATATAGCGTAAAACTAAATGTTAGTTTCGTGTCAAAATTTGAGTTTTATGCAAAGAAATGGTTATTGTTAGAGTTGCTCTGACCGTTACGCCATCTAGCGGCAGTTACTAGCGACACACAAGATCTTAAAATCTCTCGAGTTGAGAAGATTTGCCTCCGGTAGGCAACAAAGGCAGCCCTTCTCTGCTCTCACACTAAGTTTTACATGAGAGAGTAGAAGTTTGTGTTGTTTTTTGTATGGCTGCAACAGCACATTTCTGAACCATATGGTACAAGATTTTGTAATTGGGACACAAACATTTGTAATGCGTGGATTGCAAAAAATTATAACATCCTATGTTGTTTAAAATTCTTACATCAAGTTGACGAAAAATAAAACCAGGATTAGGAGAGACTATAAGAAAGTTACAAATATTTGTAACAATTACAAAAACCTGCAACAGTAACAAAAATTTGCATTCGTAGTGTTAAAGTTTAAACGTCGGTTACAATTTTTTGAAACACAATTTTTTGTCACATTACAAATTTTTGAAGGTTACAAAATTTTCTTTCTAAATTGATACTAGAACTTGTAACTTTATTTAGAGTTTGATGTTCCGTAAGAAGATTTTTTGCCGAAGTCCCTTGCTTCCTACGCTTTCAGAGCCTGTGTACTTTTGTGCATGTACTCACATAAGGGGTGCAACAACTCTGGGAATCATTTGTACCTAGGCCTAGTCATCAGGATAAAAATTAATGAAAACTAACAGGAATCGATTTAACTTACCAGGAAACTAGGGGAAGTAGATCATAGAAATCGAAATAAGCCATCTCTACCACTATAAAACCTAAGGACACTGGAAAAACTAACGTTACCGAGGTAACGTTTCTTGACGCGACCAAACCAGGTAACGTTTGGTGATGCAGCTAGTTTGTGGCGGCCCTATCCTATTGCATGGGGTAGGTCGCGGGTCGCGTCAGGAAACGTTACCGGTCTTGGTCACATGATGAAACGTTACCATTGTAACATTAGTTTTTCCAGTGGAATGAAAATGAGAGGACGGGCTTTACTGGGAATCGAGTGTTTCGAGAAATCGTGTGTCCACATCACTGAATCTGGATTTGTGATAAATTAACCCTCATTTCTCATTTTCCAAACTGTTCCGGCTGCAAATTTTCCAGTTCATTTTTCGGAAATTTCCATCAAAACTTTTTACAGTGTTGCCGCCCTGGCTGCTACTACACACGACCTGGTGTCTATCTAGTGTCTGCCTTCTCTAGTGTCTGAGTGTAGTTCTATTGGGGTTCGTCGTAGCGCTTGAGAGAAAGGACCACGATGTAGAAAGACCTAGTGGTGGTGCTCCCCATGCCACAGCGCTCAAAAGTCGGCACCAGACCAGATCTCGTGGCTGCGCCGCTGCGCCCTTCGCGCCTGTCCACGCCACCCGAGAAAGGGCGGGAGGGGGG